TCCTAGAGGCTACTGTCCCTTTAAATGATTGTGATAACATTATGTATAGTATCCACAGCATGTGCTCTGCTTGCTTACACTACCTTCAGTGAAATCTTACATTAAGTGTTTTTGTTTTGTTTTTTAGCTTAATCACCAAGACGCCATCATCACGGCCACTAAGCAGGTGAATGGTCAACTTAGACACGTTGTTGGCAGAGGGACTACAACTTTGATCGTCATCGCGGAATCAGGAAAATGTATCGCATAAAAACGCTAATAAATTCGTTACGGCCGCTTACTACGGCAGCAGCCGGCCGTGCGCAGGCAAATTGTGTCGTCAGCAGAAGCGGAGGGAAATTGCTGGCGATCCAGCAACGGTGCTATGTTACACGAGTGGCTGCAGAGCCATTTCTTAATGGCAGCTCTTCTGTGTACGTGGAGGAGATGTATAAAGCATGGCTGAATGATCCAAACAGTGTCCATAAGGTAAGCTTAGCATGACAACCCAGGGGTCGAAATTAGCGGTATCCCGATATCCGCGGGATAGTAGATTCTTGTGTTAGATACTAGATTTCAATGCTTAGTATCCCGCCGGGATAGTAATAACAATCATCATATCATCAATATCATCAATAATATCATCAAAATCGGAATGTGTATACATTGTATCAAGCGAACCAGACAATGCGTCTAGTCAATACGTCTGCAGTGTACTTGTCTGTGCATATCTGTGAATCTGTTTTCATGTTTTTATATAATAATTGCATTACATATTAATACTTTTCAAATGCTATTGTATTGCATATTTCAAGATTTTGGATACCAACATTGTTGAAATTACTATCCAAAAAATCGGATACCAGATCTTTGGGGGGGGGGGATACCAGATTTCAATACCTGGTATCCCGAATGGATACCATAATAAGAATCTAATTTCGACCCCTGCAACCCCAGCTCAAACTCTAGCGGAGGCACGTTCAAAAGAGCAGACCCCCAGTGAGTGTTCCAGCCATCAGTGCTTTTATAACCTTTATATCATGTCTAAAGCTACCATTTTCCAGCTCACTAATTCGGGAAAAAATGAAAGTAATCGATAATGCTGTGAGTTTGTAGGTAACGCTGAGCAATAGTATGAATCTATGCTGTACATTTTGTATACATGCAATCGATAATGCTGCACGAGTTTGTAGGTAACGCTGGCAGAGCAATAGTAGGAATCTATGCTGTACATTTTGTGCATTGTGTGATAAGTTGTTTTCTGTAGCGCGATGAGCTGGGCTGCTGTCAGTGCTGTGTATACAATTGCCTCTAGAAGGGGCTACAAGGATATGTGTGTCTCACAAATGAGTGATGGATGATCAATCATGTCATTGCTGCATGTCTAAGTCTTATTATTGTATCCCCCGCGACGAAGTCGGCGGGTATACTATGGCTTCATGTCTCCCCAGCCGCCGCCGCCGCCGCTCGGTCCGCCGCAGAGAATTTCCCTTCTGCTCTATAACTCGACCCCTAATTGACCTAGCGTGACCAAACTTGGTATACTTACACATCTTGGGGAGAAGGTGTGCAGAGTGCCGAGAGCGGAAGGGAAATATGATCAAGGTCAAGGTAAAGGTCAAACAAAGGTCGCAGTGGCCTGGTTTTGCTCACCTTCTCCCCAAGATGTGTAAGTATACCAAGTTTGGTAGCGCTAGGTCAATTAGAGGCCGAGTTACACCTTCTCCCCAAGATGTGTAAGTATACCAAGTTTAGTAGCGCTAGGTCAATTAGGGGCCGAATTAGAGAGCGCAAGGGAAATGTGATCAAAGTCAAGGTAAAGGTCAAATAAAAGTCGCAGTGACCTGGTTTTGGTACGCTTGTCGCGTACCGAAATCAGGTCACTGCAACTTTTATTTGACATTGACCTTGACCTTGACCTTCATCATATTTCCCTTCCGCACTATAACTCGGCTCCTAATTGACCTAGCGCGACCAAACTTCGTATACTTACACATCTTGGGGAGAACACGGGGGATGCATGTAATTGGCGACAGCTGCCCTTTCTAGTTTCTATATCGTCATGTGCGCTCTTAATATCGTTTTGTATGTCAGAAGAACTGGATGCTAGCATAGTTTCATTTTCGTGCTTATTGGGGGCAACGAAAGTAAGCGAACCTGCAAATGACTGAAACGCCCATGCATAGCATTCGTAGCACTGCAGGAAACATCAGCATATATAGATAGCCACATGCGGGGATGGCTGAGGATAATATCAGAAGTAGATAATAGGGAACCCCTATAATGGGGTTCCCTATTATCTACTTCTGATAATATGTGGGTGCCAGCAAGTTTTCCTCGATCGAAATGAACACGAAGACGTGTACGCACATGCGTAATGCTTATTACCCGATGTTTAGTACCACTCCACCTACGTATAGTGGTCACAGGCTGAAACTATGATCTCTTTATGGCGAGTGGAGTGAATCTAAGCTGATGTTGTGCCACGCCTGTAGTAGCCGTCGCACACAATATCATCAGGAGTTTATAATGACAACTAATTGACAAATAAATAAATATTATAAATAGATATATAAATAAAAATAATAAAAAAATATTGACAAATAAATGACAAAAATGTGTCATTATTAACCCCCTGATACCATGTCGCTGTCATAGAAACGTAGCTCCAAGCCTACAAGACATCCGAGCTCCGCCGTACATCGAAATACCTATGTACGGAACTTACGTAAAACCCGTGTGCGTTGACGTTAGTCTCCGCAGTCTGGTCGGGCTAATTAAAGGTTAAGTTGAATGGTATAAGTAATGGTAAATGCTTGCTGCAAGTGATAGACTTCGATTGCTAATCACAGTGACTGGGCCTATTATAAAGTGTCTATCGGGGGAGGCGAGCGTTGTCAGGGTCACATCATAGGTAGTTAGGACATCGCAAGCCTAATACGTGCGCCATCACTTTTAAAGTGAAATGTCGTGCAAAATATTGTGGCATTTGAGAGTCGTAATTACTTGCGATGTTTCTGACATAACAACGGGCCGCCGCCGCCATGACAGTCTAATCATCGAATCTGTCATTGAGACCCAACAACACAATGAGATCTAACAACACAATGAGACCTAACACCGCGTTAACGAGAAGTCCTGCGATGCAGACGAACAGCGGCTGATG